CACACACACACACACACACACACACACACACATGACAGAAGGCGACAGATAAGCAGAAGTAGCACTGTAGTTCTCCAAGAGCCGGGCGACTCGAGTGGCAGGAAGGAGAGGGAACAAGCGATAACACAGGGCAGAAACTGATAATACACACACATGTATTATAAGCTCGTCCAACTACAAAACATCGTGGTGGGTTTTTTTTCCGGTTGTTTTATTTAGGGGGGGGGGTGTGCAAATAAATTTTAACATATTTAATGTGTCCAGTGCGCTTATATGACTTTATACATCCCGTAAAACACTCACCAAAACAAAAACGAAAAAACAAACACAAGATAACGTTTCGTTGCAAGCATCGATTTTCATCAAACCTTTACCAGTAGTCTTGTATCTATTTGTCTTAACTAACTGTAAGCATATCGAGGTAAATGGTTCTGGCCTGAGAAAGCTACAAATCAGCAACGTTTTCAAGAGGCCATGAAGTCTTTGTTAAAAAATGTGATGATGACTAACAGTGTTCATGACTACTGACTACGTAGGCCCACATTTGGGTCGTCAAGATGACTAACAAAGTCCTCTTTTACCTTACGTTGACATTGAACCTTACGTTGACATTGAGAGTTTGTGTGAGTGTGTGTGGAGGGGGAGGGGGGGTTGCGCTTAAGTAGACTTTTACCAAACTAAGTGCTGCATAACAGAGAATCCAGTCAAGTGACACTACAATGACGTGACGCATTACGCACTACTCACCTCCACGATTCTGATTAAGATGTAGTCGAAGAGGAACCAGACGAGGAGGTGGGAGAGGAAGAAGGCGAGAGGGGAGGCATCGAACAGGAACATAGTGGCCCAGGAGGCTAGTACTCCCAGCACTATGCTCTCCCCTACTGGCTCTATCACGATCAGGGTGGGGACCATAGAGATACGGAGCTGGGACCATCTGGAGAAGGGACAGAGGGGTGAAGTGAGTTTTACATTATAATCGACACACTTGTGCGTGCGCGCGTGTGTGTGTGTGTGTGTGTGTGTGTGTGTGTGTGTGTGTGTGTGTGTGTGTGCGTGTGTATCTGTGTGCGTGTGTATGTATGTGTGTACGTGGTGAAACACCAAACCAATGTGCCAGGATCTGGACAATAAAGATGTATTTTATCTAAAAGATAGTATAGTATATTTAGACTAGACGTGCGTGCCTGGTCACTTTGTTTAGTCACAATAAAGTCACAGAAGTGCCAAAGATTACAGGTATAACAAGAGAGTAACAAACACACAAAAAAGCAGGAGGAGAGAGATAAATAATAATAATAATAATAATAGATAGCATTTGTATAGCGCATATCCCCGCTCATCAGCAGGCTCTATGCGCTTTAC